AAACCAGTTAAGCTGATTAAAATGTGTTTAAACAGAACTTATACTAAGGCCATATAGGTAAACATATAATTTTCTTATCCAGAATGGTCTCAAAAAAGGAGATGCCTTATCACCACTGTTTTTCAACTTTGCGTTAGAATATGCCATTATATGAGTCCAGGGAAACCAGGTGGGACTGAATTAAATGGGACACATCAGCTGTTCATCTATGCTGATGATGTGAATCTGCTGTGTGATAATACAGATACCATAAAGAGAAACACACAAACTTTAATTGAAGCAAGTGACAAGGTTTGTCTAGAAATAAACACAGAGGAAACTAAGTATATGTTACTGTCTCACCACCAGAATGTAGGGCAGAATCAGAACATAAAGATAGCTCACAGATGTTCTGAATAGGTGGCACAGTTCAGATATTGGGAAACGACTATAACAAATCAAAATCTGATTCAGGAGGAAATTAAGAGGAGACAGAATGCAGGTAATTTCTTGCTATAATTCAGTCCAGAATCTTTTGTCTTCTCATCTGATGTCTAAATACATAAAAATCAGAATGTACAAAACTATAATTTTGCCTGTGGTTCTGTATGGGTGTGGAACTTGGTCTCTGACAGTAAGGGAGGAACATAGACTGAGGGTGTTTGAGAACAGGGTGTTGAGAATACTTGGACTGAAGAGAGATGAAGTGACAGGAGGTTGGAGAAAACTGCATAATGAGGAGCTTCATAAGTTGTTCTTTGTTCCTCCTTGGTGCACACTGCTAGCAGAGCAGCCATGTTTACATTGTCACAGCATCAAGGAAAATGATGCGATCAAGGTCAAACTTTGATCACATGACCACAGTAGTACCAACTCTAAGCATGCATGTGCAGAAGGCAGAGTGACAAACCTAAAGATGTGTTATGGCGAAAGTGCGGATAATTTCTGACTTTCCCTCATACTTAATGTACCACCAGCACAAACTTTAGATCTCATTTAACTTTGAAATAAATTTTGCTCTGTAGAAGAATTTCGTTTCTTTTATTGCTGCATACAACTTGAGAACTGCTAAACAAATTCTCATGTAATGTAATACTAGGAACTTTTACTGTAATTTTTTCAATATATTCCAGTTTTGATTAAAATAGGACAAAAATAATAGCTTACATGATGACCTATATGCCTTTCTATGCACATCTGTTATTCTTTGGAGCTAAATTTGCTCGGGACAAAGTTTGCAGGGAAACAAAGCACACTTTGTATACACAATTCACTTTCTTCAGAACATTTGATTATTTAAAGGCAATCAAACAAGCAGAGACACACATGCTAAAATGCACTGTGTGTGCCTTCCTCAACTTATTTTTTTTTTTGCCAGGGTTCATCACAGTTTATTGAATTTATTGAATTTTACAAAATGAAGAGGTGAATTAATTGGTAAGCAATACATTATTAATATCTATGTTTTAAATCCTGCTGTATAACAAATTCATTAAAAAATTGACATGTTGTACATGAAATTAAAGTCATTGCTTCCACAGAGTAACAAGCAATATAAAAAAGTACTTAATTTCTGCATATTACCCTTTACGATTTCCAGCTTCATTCTCACCCTCTCAAGGAACATACTGTCTTTCACAGCCAAGGCTCTGACTACATGAATTGAAAACTTTTCTCTATAATAGCCCCCAACCCTCTTCATATCCTTCAAGGGGGCATGTCCCCCAGTTTCTGAACTATAATTCCAGCCTGCAAAGTGTTAAGACAATTCGGATAGTGGTAAAATTATGAAAGTGCTCACTATGCAATTTCTGCATCCTTGTGTTACTTCCTGCCCTTTAAAGGCAAGGTTGTCCCTGTGCTTAAATAAGTACACCACCATGCAAGTGTATGGTAGAGTAAAGGTACAGCTCCATGCATTCTTAATGCCAGCATTGGATGGTATTAAGTGGCTATCTTCAGGCTCCAGCTGCTTTACCCCAGGGTATGAATTCAATGGGAGACTCAGTGAGCCGCACATTTGCTCATGCTAGAAATCAAACCTCAATTCCTTGGTCATACATTCCATAGTCTAGATACAAATATTCTTCTTTACCTTATCTGTTTCAAAGCAGTGTCACTAATCCATTTCATAATAGTATACAAAGCATAAAAAACAGCATTACAGTCAAGTCTTCAGAGATGTGACACTGTCCACTCTGGCAGATCACAAGAAATGACAACACTGTGGCTTCTGGTTCAAAATGGATTTATTTGGCACTACTTCCTCTTATGTGTAACCGTTTACTGTCGGGAGTTGTTTACGGCTGCATAGCAACCGCGGCATCCCTTGGCCACGTCACCGCTGGCGGGGGGAGGGGTGTCCTGCATAGCGCAACACGTCACAATATGAAAGGGTGAAATTCACTTAGTGGGTCTGAGGAAAAAACAGAAAACTTCAGTCATGATACCCATTTCTGTGGCTGGTATCTGAATTGTGTATTTCCTGAATACAAGTCAGACATATGTCTGCTATGCTGGTCAGTCAGTCAGAGTCAGTGTTAACATTTTCCTTGGATTCCTGTTCCAAAATACAGTGCACCCCTACATTATAGTCATTCACATTACAAAATTGTTGCCTTTAAAGATATTGTAAAATATGACCATAACAGCTGTGATACAGGCCGTAAACTTGCGCTTTTGGAAATTTGGAATTTATTTCAAATGCAAAACAAATACTTCTCTAAGATATGCTTATTTATTAAATTTCAATTGTATATGCACACATTTTGTTGACACAGCATAAAATATTGGACACTGGACAGCCTATGCACATCTGTAACAGAGGCGGGTGGCTGCAGGATAGTTACTATTTCCATCTTATTTTAAACTGTGATGTATGTGACTCTTCTTTATGTAAAAAGTAATTCTTAGAGCTGAGGACTGAAAATTTTCTATAGGAACACATCTCCACTTATAATGTCGGAGTCAATGGGAAAACAAGAGCTCACTTTACAGACACATTTTCAAGAACACGTAACCTCTGTAATGTGGGGCTGTGCTGTTTCTATATACTATGTAGATTTCTATCCGCTGGGATATAACGTCATGCAGTCCACTGAAAGTGAACCAGTATTTTGGAGGAATATGCTGTTTGCATCTCCAGGGCTGAAGCCATGTTTACGTTCATATGACTCATACTTCTGCAGTTTATATAATCCCATCATTTTCATGTACCATGTGATTTCTCCTTCTTCCAGTTGTTTGGAAAGTAGCCCAATGTCAAGGTAGTTGCAGGACAGTCAGTTTTTGACTTGCGAGCAGTCAGGAGAATTAGCTCACTAAATTCTATTTCCACTGATCTTTCCAAATTGCGTTTGGATACTTGTTTCAGTCGTTGAAGGCAAGGGACTGGCATGTTGAAACAAGAAATGTAGTGCTCGGTGTTTTGGAGCATTGTAACAAGGGTTTGTGCTTGGGTTTATTTTTGTATGTGTTTAGGCTTTGATTGCCCCCACTGTGATTCTGTCCAATATCATAATGAGGTAACATTCCAAGTGGTTAGTTATGTTCTTTTCTGGGTTTTCTGTCTGGACTGACTGAGTTACTCAGGGTTACTGTTTGCTAACGTTGCAGAACCCTCCTAAAGTGGAAGTAAGTAGGGAAGGAGGGAGGAGTTGCTAACAAGAAACTGGCATGAAGCAGGCAGCAAGCACAAAAAGTGCCTTGCAGATACATAATCTTCTGTTTTCTTCAACCCACTTGCTGTCTCTTTTCATGCTTGTTTCTTGCTTGGCTTGGAAGTGCACATGCACAAACATGCCATGTGTGTGCGTGCGGACACACATGCACAGTGTGTTAGCCATTTAAAGCACAGTGGTTACTATATATACCACTTTCTTTTACATTAAAGGACTCTGCATACTGCAAAAAGAATGTATTTATGTGTTGCATATAATTTTCAGAATAAACAGCAATTAACAATGTAAATAGCATTAATCATTTTGCAGTCTTACATTAATTTTGTTTTTTAAGTGGCACAATGCAAACTAGGTCCTTCTTGCATAACATCAGTCCTATCTCTTTTAACAGTTTTACATTCCATTAGAAATTCCTTCAGACCGCCTCTGTGGTCCAGTGATCAGCATTCCTGGCTACAGATCCAGGGGTCTGGGGTCCACTCAGCCTCATGATGATAATTGAGGAGTTATTTGAAGGAAATAGTAGCTCCGTTCTAGAAAACCGAAATTGACAGCCATGGGGATTCATTGCGCTGGCCACGCGATGCCCTCTATCCACAAAAGTTGTAACTAAACTTCTCAAACAAGCGGTGGTCGCCTCGGTCGGTATAGTTTAGTGGTCAACGAACCGGGGTAAATTACCCCAAGTGGGGTATAAATGAAATTCTTGGGGGTAATGAGGACTCAATAGACATAAATGAAATTATATAAAAACATGTTCCTTGTTACGATAGAAATTTTTCTTCCAGCATATAACCATCCATAACAACGGCTGCTACGGAAATTGTTTAAGAGTCCAGCATGGCAGCGTGACATCATCACTAAACACTTCTGTAGATAAACGCACCCAGCATGTTGTGGACGATAGCGTTAGTTGTGGCTCGGCAGCCAGCAGAACCGCATGTCTTGTATACGTCATTTTGGCCTAGTCACCTATTGTTTTATCTTATGCTCAAAAACTTCAACGATCAAGGTAAGATAGTTTCTTGTTAGCAAGGATTTACTATCAATAAATTCATTCATTCATTATTTAATAAGCAAGCAAAATGAAGTTTTTCATGAAACCGACGCACTATCATTTATGTGCAGTAGTAGCAGTTTGATTTTGTCACACTGAATCGGTAATTTCGTGTTATAGTACATGTGCAACTAACCGCCTGAGCTATGGCGCGGCCTCCAGTACTGACTTACACATACTGTACATGCGCAGTTTCCTCCACATTACGCGTGTCGTGTAACTATAAGAAACGCGTGTGCTGAAGGGTTACAAACTTTTTGAATCACTGTCTTTTTATCCCTCAGATGACATCAACTAGAAAACGAATATACCAGGAAGAGTTCCTCAATTATGGGTTTACACAAATAGAAGACAAAGGAATAATGAAACCACAGTGTGTTGACTGTTTGAAAGTACTGACTGCAGAATCTTTCAAAAAGAGTCAATCGAAGAAACACTTGAATAATTTGCACCCACACCTGTCCTCCAAACCGCAGGAATACCTTGTAAATTTGGAAATGTCTGTCAAAAAACAAAGACTGAACAGCAACTTGAGAAGTACATTCGATCAATGTTCAGCATCAAAGGCCGGCTTTGAAGTGGCCTGGTTGATTGCCCAAAAGAAGAAACCACATACTATTGGTGAGCAATTGGTTAAACCAGCAGCTTTGAAAATGGCAGAGATTATGTGTGGTCAGAAAGAAGCTGCATAACTAAATTCAGTGCCCTTGTCTGCAAAAGTTGTGAAAGAAAGAATTTCTATTTTAGCAGAAGATGTGAGGGAACAAGTTATTTCTGCAACAAAAGAGAGTAAATGCTTTGCTATTCAGCTTGATGAAACTACAGATGTCAGTAGTAATTCGCAGCTGATGGTGTATGTTCGCTACAAAGGTTTAAATGCAATTGAAGAGGAGTTGTTGTTTTGTTCTCCCCTTGAGTTGCAATCTCGTGGAATTGATGTCTTCAATAAAATTAATGAATACTTTAATAATGCTAATTTAAAGTGGGAAGACTGCATTGCTTTGTCTGTTGATGGAGCTCCAGCTATGTTGGGTCATGTTAGTGGTTTTTTGGCTTTGGTGAGAGAGAAAAATCCAAAAATTGAGGTTAACCACTGTATGGTCCATCGCCAGGCACTGTTTGTGAAACGTTTGGAACCTGCACTGGAAGCCATCATGCATGATGTTATCAACGTTGTCAATGTCGTCAAAGGACATGCACTAAACACGCGACTATTTCGTGAATTATGTACAGATGGGGAGGCCGAATATACAGACCTACTTTATCATACAGAAGTGAGGTGGCTGTCACGTGGAAATGTTCTGAACCGAGTGTGGGTTCTCAAAACTAACTTGAAATTTTTATGGTTGATCAAAAGCATGTTCTCGCAGATAAGTTTACAAACTCCTCGTGGGTTGCACATCTCGCATATTTAGCTGACATTTTTGAGTATGTGAATGCATTGAACAAAGAATTGCAAGGAAAAAACGTCAATATATTTTCAGCCAGAGAAAAGATTTCAGCGTTTTGATCAAAGCTTTTTTATTGGAGACAGAAAGCAGAACAAAACAAGATTGCTGCCTTTTCAAGGTTGGCTTTGTTTTTGGAAGATTGTGAAAATATTACTTTTGACAACATCAAGGACAATTACAATACAAAGCAGAAACATAATCTGTATGGCCAACATTTTAATACAAATCGTTGTAAGAGAAGTGTGATAAACATGGGCATAAAACTATACAATAATCTTCCTATGGAGTTAAAGAATGTATCTGATTTTAAAGTGTTTAGGAGGAAATTGAAGTGTTATTTGTTGCATAGTGCCTTCTACTCTCTTCAGGAGTTTTTTTATATGTAAGATGTTGAATTAAATGACTTAATTGTCTGTTAATGCATGTACTGGTGGTTTTTTTATACAATTTATTTAAGTATTTATGTTAGGTGTGATTGTTATTAAATCTATATATTCTCTTTGACTTTATCTGATTGTATATTTTACTGTTATGGATGTAAATAAAAGAATTAAGAATTAAGGACACAGTTATAAGGCATCTTACCAAACTCAAAAAGCGGTTCGATGATTACTTTCCAGATCTCAATTCACATAATGTCAGTTGGGTTGTAGATCCCTTTAAATGTGAAATTGCTGATGCACCAGAAGAGCCTCAAGGTTTGGCAGAGGCACTTCTTGAACTTCGATCCAATAATGAAGCACGTATTGAATTTGAAAACAAAGCAGATCTGTCATATTTTTGGATGTCAAGAGCTGCAAATGCTTTCAGAATTGCACATGAGGAGGCAGTCAAAAAGTTGCTGCCCTTTGCAACAACCTACCTTTGCGAACAAGGATTTTCCACTCTACTGAACATAAAAACAAAGCAGAGAAATCGATTGGACCCCGAAGACAGTATGCAAATTGCTCTGACATCAAAATGTCCCAATTTTGATGTTACTGTATCAAAAATGAAACATCATTTCTCCAAAACCTGAAGTGAAAAATTTTTTCTAAGAAATCCTTTTGTTTCATAATGAGGATATTAATTTACTCGTATTTTATCGCATTTATTTTATACTTTTTATATTTATAATTGTATTCTCCATATAAATAGATTCAATAAACCTTCTGAATTTGAATAATCTATGATTTTCTCTCTTTCAAATCAAGGGGGTAACATTGGCATAAATAAATATATTTTGGGGTAATAAGTAAAAAAGTTCCCCGACCCCTGGTATAGTTCGCTTGCTGACTAAAATCACAGAGTACCTCCTTCAGCATATGCTTTTCATTTATCTGCTTCATTCACCCATACCAACTGTTAAAATTATTCTCTACTTAATTTAACTACCACGGTAGTGTAGTTGGTTGAGGCACTATGCTACAAGCTGGAAGGTCATGAGTTCAAGTCCCGATGAGGTCATTGGATTCTTTTCAATTGACCTAATCCTTCCAGCCACACTATGGCCCTGGGGTCGACTCAGCCTCTAACAGAAATGAATACCAGAAATTAATTAAATAATTTTCTTGGGGAGTAAAGCGCAGCCAGCGCATAAGGCTGACAACCTTACTATGGCATTCCGGGAAGTTTATTAAAATTACTTAAAACAGGAATAATGAAATGAAAAATCAGCAAAAGCCCCACTACATAAAAATCTGATAAAATATGTGGCAAGGTTATGAGATATACAGGAAAATTTCATTTATGGCCTTATGCAAACTAGGCTTTATTATGGAACAATAAGGCTGCAAACTGGAACAACATACCACCTTTTAATAAGTCTTCCATATCAGTTTTGAACAAAATTTTGGAAATGATTTATGGGACACAAAGAAAAGTCCATTTAAGACATATATAAATTAGGCTTCACTTAGTGGGGGGCGGAGTCCAGCTGGGTCCACTCAGCATGGTGGCCACTGATTGGCCTATTGTACCTGCCCTGGGTGATTATGATGATGGAGAATTTGGTGGAATGAAGATTGGCAGGGGAACCGAAGTACTCGGAGAAAACCCGCCCCAGCGCCACTTTGTCCACCACAAATCCCACTAGATCAGACCCGGGCCGCCATGGTGTGTAGCCAGCAACTAACCGCTTGAGGTATGGCGCAGCCTAAACTAGGGTTTATTACAGATCAATACAGCTGAACATCAGAAATGCCCAATAACATTTAGTTAAAGCGTCCCGTATCAAATTTCTTTTCTAAGAAAATCTGTCCAAAAGGCCGAAGACTTTAGCCAATGATACTAGGTCACAGCTAGCCAGCCAGCCAGCCAGCCAGACATGCTCTCCACATGTTGTTCTTTTTAATTGTGAAGGGAGTCTGACTGTCTTTGCTGTGAGGAAGGAACTGAATTAAAGTTCTTAACCGTTCAGCGTGGTTTGACGTGTATGTTTCGTCAGGTATTTAAATCGTCTGTGGGGGTTCGACGTCTATGTTTCGTCCAGCTGCACACCTATGTTATAACGCCCATAATAATTGATGGTTTTGCTGTAGATTGTTAGATTTTTCGCTGGCCTGTTGTCAGGAGAACCGTATTTAATGAGACACGAGTTTAGCTGCGCTAATTCATCGTTACATATGCCTGTCTTGCAGCAAAGTTCCTGTTGCTCTTGGGAGAGGTTTAGTCGTTCAAACTGTTATGAATGGCGTGTTTTCTTTCCTATGAAGTTATAAACAGCAGAGACGTGATATGTGCTGTGTTTATAATATCATATTGCCCTGAGCTGGCCACACTAACACACTCAATTGGAATTCTTAGAAGAGGGATGTCCAAATTTTATTCTTGCAAGATCGATTGATTTCGCACAGTACATGGCAGCCAGTTCTTAGAAAAACGCCACAAATTAAGGCAGAACACTGTGGTCACCCCCTGTGACGATACGGGTGTGTGTGGGGGAGGGAAAAGAACTCATTCCTTCATGTATTATCGCTCCAGTTGACTCCATTTTATCGTACTGACCTTGGTGGTCGTTTCGAGGGATGACCATAAATATTTTTTTGAGCCAGCTAAGCTCTGCTTTCGTTCACTACATACCAGCCAGTTCTTAGAATAACTTCATGAATTCTGTGGTCACCCCTACGACGTCTTATGCCGCCAAAATGGATGGAAAATGAAACGCAGAAGCACCAACACTTGTTATGATAACATAAAGGTTGAATTTACTGCAGCTAATCTGGCTAGCGATACGACTCACGGAGAGACATTAATTCTTGTATTCCCCCCATGGGGAAGAAGGCAAGGCTGCGCAGGAGATGTTTGGTTTACGGAAAAAAGAGCCAAATGAGAGATACGCAGTACTGGTGTGGTGAATGTGAGACAGCGCTGTGTATAGTAGAATGCTTCAATGCGTACCATACTCCGCTCAAATTCTGAACCACCTGCTTCCTTTGCCGAGATACCGGGCGCTCATATTATAAGGCAAGGTTATAAAACCATCTTTTAACATCATTTTAGTGAAAGTTTGATGCTTCAAGGCGTACCATTCACTGCTCAAATTCTAAACAAACTGCTTCCATTGCTGAGATACCGGGCGCTCATATTATAAGGTAAGGTTATAAAACCACCTTTTAAGATCATTTTAGTGAAAGTTTCATGTTCCTATCTCATAGAATTTAAGAACAATGATGAATAAATCATTTTCAAGCAAAATTTAAATGGCCGGCTGAATATATTACCGCCGGAGAGACAGCCGCGGAATTTAAATGACCGCGCAAAAGGGTTAAAGGCTTCATTATCATTCAGATAAATTTCAGGCTCCACACATTTAAACCCACATTAAGTTTTCTACAGTATTTTCTTAACTGTTGCTATTATGAAAATATTCATTCTATTAGAAAACAAAAATCCTATATTTATATCTTAAAATATTGTAATGTTTCCAGATTTACACAGAGGGAGAGTCAAATTCTTTATTGTCCTACATACAAATAATATAGGCTTAAACTAGCATCATATCTTACATATTATGAATACTTGCTTCACTTTGTGGAAACCCTAGTTCTTTTGTTCCATGAAAAATTAACTCCATATGACTTTGGTTTCAGTTCCTTCTCCTTCTTCTGTGTTTGCACATACCACTTCCATCCATTCTTCTCACAGAAGGCAATGGCTTCTTCTTCTGTATGAAATTGTACCTTCATGTTGGAAAGGGGATCACCACTACAACAGAGATACATCCAACTTATTAACACTCCACTCCCGGGCACTTCACAGCCCAGCCATTTCTGGCAGTACATTTGTAGCTTGAAGTATTTCACTGAAAAGAAAATAACAGAAAACTATCCACATATGTCTAGAAATCACAAAAGGTACCTACATGTACTGACCAGTAACTCAAAGTGTGCTCTGAAAAAGAAACATTTCGTTTTGTTGTACATGGCAGTCTGAACAAAGCTCCAGTAAGTTGATCTCAGATAACCAGATGAAGGTAAGTTGGCCTGGTGCTTAACAATGTAGCTTTGGCTTATGGAACACTCCTATTAATATGCTTGGAAGGACCAAGGCCCAGCTTACGGAACTACAAGGTGGTTCAAATATGACTGGGACTGATTTTTCTTTAAACCAACGTACTGCCCTCCGGAGTCAACACATTTTTTCCAACGTTCTGGAAGCATCCTGATGCGCTTTTCAAAAAAGGCTTGTGGTTGGCAGCGTATCTACTCCCGAACAGTCTGGATGACGGCGTCGTCATCCACAAACCGCATGCCTTGCAAGTCTGAACTGAACCTTCCGAACAGGTAGAAATCACTTGGGGCCAAATCGGGACTGTACGGTGGATGTGTCAGAAGGTTCCATTTCAATTTCTGGAGGGATTCCATTGTTGTTTTGGCTGTATGGGGCATGCATTGTCTTGAAGGAAGGCTATCCACTTTCCACCTGTCTTAGGCTTGGATTGGACCTTTTCCTTCATGTCTGTTGCCAGGAGGTCTGAGTAAAAAGCTGCATTGACTGTTCTGGCATCTGTCAGAAAGTCTACATGGATAACCCCATGCCAGTCCCAGAAGAACGTTGCCATCACTTTTCCTGCCGAATGGCTCCTTCGTGCTTTCTTGGGTTTGGGAGAACTGGTATGCCACCACTCACTACAGACTTCAAAAATGCATCACCATTGTCTTCAAACTGCTGTAGATGACAACTGGCAGCTTGCATGCACACCATTTTGTTCACATCTGTCAAAGTGCATGGTACCCACCATGCATTCACCTTGCGATAGTGCAGGTGGTATTTCACGATGTCTTCTACACTACCAACACCGATGGACAGCATTGCTCCAAGTTCCCTGATAGTGATGCGCCTATTCTCACGAATAAGTGCATCTGCAGGATCAATGTTTGGCTTGGTGACTGATGTTCACGGCCGACGATCATGCGGTTCATTCTCCATGCGCTCTCTGAAGCACTTACACCACTCAAACACACGGGTCCATGAGAGACACTCTTCCCCATACTGTTGTTGGAGTCTGTGGCGAATTTCAGCAGACAGGACATTTTCTCCAACAAGGAATTTAATCACAATGCGTTGTTCCATGCTCTGCGGTACCTTCTGTTCACTCATCACTCTAGCAACTCCCAGACAGGACTGAACACGTTCTAACCCGAACAGGAGGGAGGGTGGAGGTTGTGGCTTCACTCTCTCAAGGTCGCACAGCTGCTGCGCAGGGCTTGTTTACATACAAATCAGTCCCAGTCATATTTGAACCACCTTGTATTCTGTCTTCTCCATATGTCATTAGATGATATTCCCAGAAATAATCAGTCAAAATATTTAACTTTGGCTTACAAAACAGTTCAACATATCACTTGCATGTACTGAGACTGCCTTACAGAACTACTCTGTCTTCTTGATATATCATGAGATACTGATTTTTCCAGAAATAATCCCAATCAACAAATGTTTAACTCTGGCTTATGGAACAGTTCTGGATACCACTTGTTAGACCACAAATTGGCTTACAAAACTATCTTCTCAGTATGTCATTAGACGTTATTTCTCTAGAAATAATCACTGTCAACCTTATAGGGCAGTCCCATATATGCTTGTATGGCCCAAGGACCCAATTACAGAACTCTTCAGTCTTCTCAGTATAGCAGAGTTTTTGATTTTTCCAGAAGTAATCGCAGTCAAAAAATATTCAACTTCAGTTTATAAAATAGTTCTATATACTACTTGCATGAGTGAAGACTGGCTTATGGAACGATTCTGTCCTTTCAGTATATCATTAGGTGCTGAGCTTTCCAGAAATCATCCCAGTCGCTAACTTCCTAAAAACCTGAAGCCAAAGTAATTAAGCACCATGTCATGAAGATAAATGGGGATGTGGCAGTATAGTTCCACCTTTTCTACACTTTCACCCTAGATCTAGGGTGTGGAAAGGTTCTTTCGTGCTTCTTTCAGCTCAGGAATGAAATTGATATATTCTTACCAAGTAAAACCATCATGAACCACTTTTATCAGATACCGAGGGGCTTTGGAAATTAGCATTTTTTGCTGATATGGTAAACCACATGAACCATTTGAATTTAAAGTTGCAGGGTGAAAATAACTTAAGTCTGTGATTCATTTGCACTTGTCAAGGCATTCAGAGCAAAGTTGATACTTCTGGAAAGCCAAGCAAAAAATTGTAACTTTGTTCATATGCTATACTGTGCAGGGTTGCATAAAAAGAATGAAGCAGAATTTCCTTCCTCGTTTGCAAATTTAGTCATTTCAGATTTGAAGGAACAATTTCGGAAGCGAATTCCTGATTTGGCTTCCAGTGCTCAGGAAATTAGATTGTTTCAAAATCTGTTTGACTGTGATGCTGCAGATGTCAAATTCAAATGGAAATTATTGAACTTCAGGAAAATTATCATATTAAAGACAAATACAAGGAAGGAAATTTGATCGAATTTTATAAATTTCTGAACTCTGAGCAATTTCCAAATTTAAAGAATTTTGCTTGTAAATTTATTTCCATTTTTGGGATGACATATCTGTGTGAACAAACTTTTTCCCAGATGAAGTACATAAAGTCGAAATACAGGGCAAATTTATCCGATGAACATTTAAAGTCGCTACTTGTGATTAGCGTTTCAAAATTTGAACCTCAATTTAATCAGATTTTAAGAATGCAAAAAGAGTTCCATCATTCACATTAATGGTTTTATTATAATTTGTGATGAAAATATGAGCATTTGCTGCTACTGTCTGTTGTCATTAATATATGATAATTTATTCTCATGTACTTTGTATTTAGTTTATGAAATTCTGTGCTTTCAATAAAACTCATATACCTAGAGCTATTAATTTCTCATTTTATCTGGCCCGTTGAGAGTGCTGAATTACCTAATGTGGCCCGAGGTTTGAAAAGTTTGGAGACCCCTGCCCTAAATGGTGGTCAGTGATCACTATCATGCCCCAGCCACTTTACCTGGGGGGGGAGAGCTCTCAGTACCCATTGGATAGAGGGCTGCGTGGGCACTAGAGCCAGTCTAAACACTGAAGAGAAAAATCTCTCTACAACATTTAAGTTCGCAAAAATCAATAAATCAGGTGAAGTTACTCTTCCATAAATAACTGTGCCCCTAATGAAATTATTCCCTTCATACAGCATGTGTGGATAAGTCTATCAGTTTGCAAGATATAAAGTTATAATTTTGCATGCATTTTTCATTTCTCCCATGTGTGCTACATTTTCTGATCATCTAATCCTCCCTCCATTTAGCCACTGACACTACTAGGTGAAAAGCACAAATTATGAAGCTCCTCATTACGCCATTTTCTCTAGTCTCATGCTACTTTACTTTTGAAAGGTCCTATCCCAAGACACCTTCAGTTTATTTATTATTGTCTTTTGGGGTATAACTCCATACAATGTGATAGCTGGTTACCAATGTTTCAGGGTACCTACTGCTTCCATCCTCAAGGCTGAAATGCTAATAACTATCTACCAGGTTATATGGCATCACATCCCAGAAAATGTAATCTTCACAGTTACTGCATGTACTCCATGCAAGAACTGCTGAGCCACAGAAACAGCTGTTGCTAAGTAATACAAGCATGCGACAGTACAGAGCTCTATTTTCTATGTGGTCTCCGCCATGCAACAGCATAGGGCTGTGTATTCTGTGCGTGGTTCATGCTGAGACAATATAAGATTCAGTGCAGTTCAGTTGAGAGTTCAGTTCTGTACAGGAGCCTCTGAAGAAATGAGTTAGTTGCAAGAGTGTGAAGAGAAGACTTTATGTGTATAGCAAGTGTCATGTAACTTCGAACAAGGCCAAGAGTAACCTTGAATGCGGAGAAGAAAAATTTCAGACAAGGGGGTGGAGGGTGTGAGAAGTGACAGGCAGCCAGTGGAAGAACGAGTGTTAAGAAACTCCTCCCACCACAAGCTATACGCGGGATCTGACTAGGAATACGGGGCCTTGATCGAAGTTATGTGACACTGTCTATAATTCAGTGAGACTGTTATAGTGCCTGTGTTATAAATATATTGCCAGAAAACAGACAGTGTAGACACTGTAAAGGTGTAGCCACTGCTCAGATGAACTTGGCCTCCCCCGAGAAACGCCACTGACCGTGATATTTGCTTCATGCGACTGAAGAATCAAATCCCGCAGCAATATTTCGCGGAACTTTTTGTGTGTCATTTTTCTACCACATGACTTGTGTAATAGATATGCATTTAGAATAGTCATATCTAGAAGGTGGAATAACAATTTCTTTGTCCACTTCCATGTCCTCCTAGCAATGCCATAACTGTTTACCATCCTGTCAGATTTATCAACAAAGCCCATGTGTGCATTGTAGTCTTCAGTTACATGGGGTTTGACAGCATGGCCAGATTCTTCTCGGAAGTTGCCTTCCAATGAAGGAGGGTGCAAATTCTAAAAACATACACATCACACTTGTCTTTCCAACGACCAACATTTAGATGCCCCTTGACTCTTGTAATAATATCCCATTTTTTCAATTTCATTGACTTGGGCCAAATTTCTTGTGGCATTCCACGCCTATCATTGCGAATGGTGCCACATGAATTTATTTTCTGGTCTAAAAGATCGTCAAATAAAGCAGGAGAACTGAAATAATTGTCCATGTAAATTCTGTGTCCCAAGCCTTCTACTCATCGAATTAGCTGGAGAACAATGCCATGTGTCGATGTAATTTCTTCTGTCGCAAGTTGCCTTTGTTTGCCCAAATAAACTGTCATGTCATAAGTATACCCAAAAAAATCGCAAAGCTTGTAAATTTTTATACCAAATCTTTTGCGTTTCTTTGGAATATACTGACAAAAAATCACTCTTCCTTTGAACAAATATTATAACTTCATCAACAGCAAGACGTTCTGCTGGATCNCGCGGTGACGTAACGCGCAACGCTAACGTAACCGTAATCAACGTCCTACTGTGACGTGGCACTCATTACGCCACAGGCAAGCACTGCAGCTATATAAGTGGATGCAGAGTGCGTATCGATCAGTTCGAGTTCGAGTTCGAGTTCGAGTTCCAGTGTGGCTACCGCCGAAGACATTCCGAGTTATAAAGTAACAGCCAGCCGACTACAGTTGGAGTATAGCAGCCGTCGCGGAAAGAAGATCCGGACGTGTGTGTGATTGTGTAATTGGGAGCGTGTGATACAGTGATACATAGCTCCCCTACTGTAAACGTGTAGACTACTGAAGACAGAGTGAACTGATTTGCGCATAGGGTTATAAGTCGTGAAACCCCGCAACAGTGTTAACAGATTAATGCGCTTAGGGTTATAAAGTGTGAAACCCCGCAACTGTGAGATAATTAATTGTAGCCGTTATTTGTAGATTGTTCAATAAACCAGTTAACGATCTCTACGGCGTCTTCAGTAACGCAAGACACGTTACACTGGTGTCAGAAGTGGGATATACCGACAAAAAATCACTCTTCCTTTGAACAACACTATAACTTCATCAACAGCAAGACGTTCTGCTGGATCGTAAAGTTCACAAAATTTGTTGTTGAGATTGTCAACAATTTTTTTAATTTTCCAGAGCCTATCATAATCTGGGTCATCTTGATTTGCAGGAGCTTCATTATTTTCAAAATATAGGAATCTCAAAATATGGAAGAAACGGTCTCATACCATGGTGTTATGGTAGAATGGAGTGTAGTATTGCTCATCTCTTGACCAATAATCTTTGAGGGTGTCCCATTGATCATGGCCCATTTGAATAATTATTGCCAAAAAGTTATACATCTCTTCAAATGTAATGTCAGGCGGTTGAACAGAAGAGCCTGGAGCATCTTGGCATGCCATAAACTGGTTAAAATATCTGTTGGTTTCTTGTAACAAGATTTGGAATATTTGTTTGAAAAACAGAATGAAAATGGAAAAAGGAGAGGACTGTGCATTTATATTGGGAGCAGCTGATCTGTTGATTCCACTCAGAGGACCAGTGAAGTCTAGTACCTTTGGTGAATCCCCAGGTCTTCTATCATGAAACCTAATTTCCGTTTCCTCTGCCTCGTCTGATGATGATGATGACGACAATGACATATTTGCTCGAGGTTCAGTGAACTCACTGATATCTTCTAACTCTTCATCAGATTCCTCTTCCATCAGTATTTCCTCCAGTTCTTCTACATCGAGAAGTTTGGAATATCGGGCACGTTTTTGAGGTTCCATCTTGGAGGAGGGGTGGTTCCCAGCAAAATCAAATAAATTATGTTGATTGACAAAGACTCACAAAATAGTGATGCAAAGTAACTGTAATAGTATGGTACAATAGGCCAGAAGTGGCAGCAGTACAAGGGACTTAGTCCCACCCCACTAGCAATAAAAAATAATAATTGTAATAGTAGTTGAAGAGGTGCCAGTCCAACACTGATATGGAAAGTCACAGTGACGAAGATGCCTTTTACTCACAAAGTAACACTGGCTCAGTGGGTTTATACTTCTTCCAAGACACAAAATAATATAAAAAGAAATATATGAGAGTCTGACACTAACTTTTTAAGTGAAAAAGAAATATTACACAATCCAACACTGACTTCCTAACTGATAATTCGCCATTGAAAACCAATCCTTGAAAACCTCACACTTCCTTGAAAGCTCTGGAAGCACTGATCTGCAAGCACCCACGAATATTTCCTCTGCAGTTCTGAGAACAAAGCTGGGCTATATTTGGCTGACCAGGTCATAAACAGTCATATATAAACATAAATAGTTTTGAAACCAGGATTGAGATAAACGATTTCTTTGTTCAGAGCTAAGGAATGAACCACTAACATGACCTAACATATGTTTGTTTTCGTTTCAAATCCAAGGTCACTCTGTCAGCGCTCCCAAAGAGTGCACGTGTCCTGCGTCATATATATGTGTCATTCGGCCAACTCCGGTTGCTGCTTGTGTCATATACATGTGACATTCGGACATTAAAGGTTAAACTGCAGAAAACACAAGTCTACCATGTAAAACAAAGCATCATATATTTAATGAAGATAACAGTCCAAAGACCATCTATATATTTCTGTATCACATCAAGACTAACTTGAGTTACCAGACTACCGTCTATCACTGTGACTAAAAACTCTTGTAGGGAATAAAAATAGTTTTGTAATAAATAACTTTTGAATTTATTTTTAAAAACCTTAAAATTTCCTATTCTTTTTAGTTTGAAGGGTAAGTTGTTATGTATTTTTATTCCCATGTTAATTACATTTTTTATAACAAACGATACTGCATAATTGGGCACACAAATCCTTTTCCCTTTTGTGTCTACTTACGAATATCAGAATACCAAGTCATATAGATCTTATTCTTTTTTATAAAGCATAAGATCTAAAATATATATAATGAATACAGTTAAAATCTTAAAATCAACAAACAAACTTCTACAAGATACCCTTTTTTAACTTCTTTAACAAGTCTTGGACCTTTTTTCTGTATTTTAAGTACTTCATTACTGTCATTTACTCCCCCTCAAAATATAATACCATATTTTAGTAGAGATTCAAATTTTGTAAAATAAACATATCTTAATACAGGTATACTTACTGAGTTGTGTAAGGATTTAATCAAATAGAGCTTTCTTTAATTTTTGACAAATGTATTGTATATGAGTGGCCCAGCTTAAGTATTCTGTGATATAAATACCAAAACATTTAAAAATCTTAAATTTGATAAATAAGTTCTTTCTTTGTTATTTAAATACAGAACAGGTCTGTGAATTAAACTGGATCATCTTCCCTGAAATAGGATTGCTTTGATCTTTTCAGTATTTATTATAAGATTATCTGTCAAGAATCAATTTTTTAATTGTTTTGTAACTTTCAAATTTTCCCTCTTAAAGATGTGACTTTTCTCAATGAGTAATATACTTGTCATATGTGAATAACACCACCTGAGCTTCTTGAATAGCTTGGGGCAAATCATTTATGAACAACAAAAACAAAAGGGGTCCCAAGACAAAACTGACATACGCCATATTTTATTTGTAAGATTTGAGGTTTTCATGGCAGTGACTATGAATAATGCTGTCTTCTGGGATGTGGTGCCTTGCAGATATTGTGTAAACCAACATTTCGGAGGAACGTATTGGGGCAAAAAAATTCGCGAGCGAGGAACCAGCATGAGCAGGTGGCTGCAGACTGAGTCACCAGTCAAGAACACCCAGCTACATAAGCACAGGAAGGGAGGGAGAGTGGGCCACATGGGAAACCAATAGAGAGGAGAGGAGAAAGGTCTGTGGAGTTGGGACAGCAGGTGGCAGGCCAGAGTGAGTACAGGATCCTGTCAGGGTGGGGGGGAAGAAGCAGGGTTATGGGGACAGCATTGACCCATTAGCCTTGGGGCTAAGCTGCCAATGGTGCACTGACCTGCACAGTTTGGGAGCTTACCCCTGAGGCTACTGGGTCAATGCTCTCCCAGTAATCCTGCCTCTTTCCCTTCTTGGAAAAAACTGACATATCTCCTCAGAAGAAATCTGTGATAAACGAAACAAGCACCATGGGACACTTCATGACATATTACAGTGGAACAAAGCCACTTACGTGGATGCCCAGCCCATGAGTGGATTTTCCCAACGTTCTCTAGTTTCAAACTCCATCTCCCAGTGATGGGTGTTGTCTGTACCAGACTGCATGGCATTCTTGCATGGTCTGTAGATCCTTACAAGGCGTGTCTTGATGTGTTCTTCAGGGACTCCAGTGATGGTAGAAATATTCATCTATTCAATTACAACAGTGAAAATCATCAGTCACTGCACATTAAACAGTATAACTGCAAAACAATAATAAGGCATGTAAACAAGAACAATAACACTTTTTTTAAATGTATTCATCAACTACATGATATAAGACAGTTCTCACAACAGTGAACATTAAGATTATGAAGAAAGCAGTTTTCTGGGATGTGGCACCGTGTAGATGTGGTGTTAACCGATGGTGTCAACGCCAGATCCACAAGGACACAGAGTCCATGACTGACTCACATAGCACCCCCCCTCCCCCGCGCAGCTTAAGGGTTAATGCCCTTCCATTAACCTTGCCTTTCTCCCCCAGCACAATATCCTATACCTGCTCTAACCTTGCTCCTGTCCCACACCCTTCCCCTCTCCCTCTCCACTGATTTCCCATGTAGAATTGTTCCTTCCTTTCCTGCTCTCATATAGTTGAGTTTATTTCCAACATTAGTCTGCTTGCACCTGTTCTCACTGTCTCTTCACTCGCAGATTTTCTTATTTTTCCTTTTACCCTAAACATGGAGGCAATACATTCCTCCAAAGCATTAGTTAACACTACATCTACATGGTGCCACATCCCAGAAGACTGCTTTCTTCATAGTCACTGACGTGAAAACATCAAATCTTACATTAAGATTATGGTCTTCTGGGATATAATCCCATGTAGTTTGGTAGAGAGGTACCAACATTTCTGAGGAATCTGCCTCCCCTTCCTGAATACAGGGACTGCATATTTTTCTGAAATGCTGGTATTTATATCTACCAAACTGTGTGGAGACACATTCCAAAAATCAGCCTTCTTCACTAACCAGCTGTTGTAAAAAGCCATCTGTATAAAAGCAGCAATACCCATTCTCTGGTTGCCTACCTTGTCAGTGAAAGAATATGTAGTAGTTATACCTTCAAAGAGGGAACAACACTTAACTACTGTAGTCATTGTTATATATATATAGTGACATGGATGGCGCAACGGGAAGTGGGGGTCACGTGAACTGTATGTCTCGCGAGTGACATCACCTACCCCCACTCCTTCCATCAGTACGCAACGCTCGGTGGGCGCCCCCTCCCCCGCGCTGACATGGCAGCTCTTCCCACAGTGACGTAGTGGGGGATACCGCAGTTGCTACGCAGCAGGCGACAACTCTCGACAGTGTTGCCCAGCAATAAGGCGACTAGGCAACAGGGAAGCGAGGTGCTTTCCGTTGTCTGGCTGAGGGTTTATAAGAGAACTACACTGCATAAGGAGTTGAAACACAGCAGCTGCCTAAGACAGTTAAAATGTAGCAGCCACTGAAGACAGTTTCAATCTAGCAGTTACCGAGTCGGGTTGTATCGAGTGCATGGCAGTAACAATAGGAGAAATATTTGTGATACTGCAGATGGCAGTAGTTGGGAGATTGTAAATTGTCTGATTGTGAGAGCAAGTGTTCAATAAATTCACTATATCAAATAAGGCGTGAAGTTACTTGTCGCGTGACATACACCCAACATGTGAAAATTTGGTGTCAGAATTGTCTACGAACTTAAACACGCCACAAACGAATTATTGTGCATTGAGTGTTATCCTACAAAAAGAAAAAGGGACACACAACAGATGATGGAACTCCTGCTGAAAGAGATGAGGGCCTGGGGAGAAAAGATGGATGCAGAAATGAAAGCCTGGAGAGAAATGATGGCCGCCAGGCTAGAAGAGACGGACGCCAGCCAAAAGGAGATGGTGGCTGTAATCAAACCAGACATGGACGTAATGTCGATGGCCTGCCAAAAAATAGAGGCACGTCCAGAAGAAAAAAAGCCGGCCTCAGTGGACATGAAACCTGAGGCGGCAGAACAACGAGAGGTACCCGTAGAAGACGCCGAAGTAATGCCGGTCGGAGAACCGAAGAAGAAAAGGCATAGGGACCAAAACCAGCAAAATATGAAGAATTCGACACGGGAAAATTGTGGACCCCAGAAGAAGTTGGCCATGGCCAGCAGAGGGACGAGCCACTGTGCAAAAGTGGCACTGCAAAAGCAGAAGAGAAACGACACAAGGATGTCCCGTCGCGCAACAGTGGCACGACTCAAGAGAGACACCCTCAGGAACACCACCCAGAAAAAGTGTGGACACCACAAGAGACTGGGACTTGCCAGCAAGGGAACAACCCACCGTGCGAAAGTGGAACGGCAAAAGGAAAACGTCGTTGGGAGAAACCGCACCAGGGCCATGATTGAGTGAGCAATCAGAGAGTAGGGCCAGTCAAGAAGAATTTATGGACGCACCATAAAGGAACAAAGGATCAACGCGGCAAGGGACTGCTACATGGGAGGAAGAAGAGGACAACCATGGACGGCATCGGGAAGTGGAGCCCGCGAGAGCGAGCTCCTCTGGGAAGTGAAGGAACACTAAGGACAATCTTATATGAGACCTACAGTCCGAAAAACACTAAACGAATGCCCAAGACTTTCAGCAGGATGCGGAGAATCATGGATTGGACTTTGTGGAAGGGACGATGCCCTCCAAAATGGAAAAAGAGACTTCAAGCAGAGGAGGAGCCGGTAAATTAGAAACACTGGCATCCCCAGAAAAAGTGAAGGAGTGAATGTGATACAGTTGGATATTCGGGCACGTTAGCAGGAAACCGCTCGAGACAAGCTGGTCTTAAAGGAGGAGCAGATGTAGTGGTTGGAGAGCACAGCAACGGGAAGAAAATGGAATGGGGATGTACCGTAAGGCTGTTCGGGACAAACAACCTTTAGAAGGGAGCAGTATGACGTGGATGGCGCAACGGGAAGTGGGGGTCACGTGCGTCTCGCGAGTGACATCACCTACCCCCACTCCTTCCATCGGTACGCAACGCCAGGTGGGCGCCCCCTCCCCCGCGGTGATGTGGCAGCTCCTCCCACAGTGACGTAGTGGGGGATACCGCAGTTGCTACACAGCAGGAGACAACTCTCGACAGTGTTGCCCAGCAACCCCTGTAAAGAAGGTGACTAGGCAACAGGGAAGCGAGGCGCTTTCTGTTGTCTGGCTGAGGGTTTATAAGAGAACAACACTGCCTAAGGAGTTAAAATGTAGCAGCCCCCTAAGACAGTTAAAATGTAGCAGCCGCCGAAGACAGTTTCAATCTAGCAGTCGCTGAGTCACATCGTATCAAGTGCATGGCAGTTACAATAGGAGAATAAATGATACACACTCCATCCCAAGTGCAAACAATATATATTATATGTCTTTGATCTTGTTCTCTTCTACACTACATGTTTCGGCCTCTATCGGCCATCATCAGGTGTATACTCTAAATGTTGCTGCCACACTGAAACCCAGTCTAAAATTTAACATTTAAAATTTAAATTTAAAACTGGGTTTCACTGTGGCAGCAACGTTTAGAGTATACACCTGATGATGGCCGATAGAGGCCAAAACATGTAGTGTAGAAGAGAACAAGATCAAAGACATATAATATATACTGTTTGCACTTGGGACGGAGTGTGTATCATTTATCGTGTAGAGTGCAACAGGATGCTGAGATATAATACAATAGGAGAAATATTTGTGATACCGATGGCAGTAGTTGGGAGATTGTAAATTGTGTGATTGTGAGAGCGAGTGTTCAATAAATTCGCTATATCAAATAAGGCGTGAAGTTATTACTTGTCGCGTGGCATACACACAACACGTGACAATATATATATAGATAGTTTCTTCACAAAATGCAATAGAATTAAATCAAGAGTTCCCTGTCTTTGACACTGGGACTACAATGAACAATCAGTTATCATACTCTTTTGTAAAACATCAGCCTAAGAACTAGCCACTTTAATTAGTAACACATGATGTAACAGTTAACTAATACACCAATGTATATGTTTTGGCAATGGAAAAGTGGAAATATGTATTTATGTATGTATGTATATATGCATATCATATATGAAGAGATAAATTGATAAAACGACATGGCTTCTCAAGAAGTAAATATACCGTACTATCAAGCCTAAAATACAATTCCAAAATTAATCTACACTGAAATATTCAGAATGTGGAATATGTTTCATGTAAGTATACAGCCTCCTGTACTACACGAGATAAGAGTGACCAAATTTCATGTACAGGGAAGCATTTTTCATTACAATATTTCAGCATAAAAATCAGAACAAATTAAGTTTCACTCCTGTAATTTAAAAAAGAAAAAGAAAAACTGTAATGAGGATTCAAAACCACATTCACAAACTAGAAACCAATACTTTCGCTTCTTTATAGCAGCCTTGATTGTCATATAAGCTGTCAACATCACACAGTAAACTGCACATGTAAGGGCTGTCTGTGTTGGTCCACAGTGCAAAACAGGAAATTGTCAAAATTTTGACAGGAACCTTCCATTTTTATGTATGCTGGATACTGCAAATAGCTTATGTAAATTCCCACACTTAGGCACTTAGCACAACACAATTAATTATCGAGAATTCCAAACTAAATTTGAACATTCAATGCTTCACTGTTAAGATGAATTTCTTACCGGCTGATCCACAGTTATGTAGCCATCAAGCTGTTTCTGGTGAGACACCTCTTCTGGCCTCATAAGTATATATTTTGTTTCCACTTGTGGGGCCTCCTTTACCTCCAGTGCCTTGTCAATATTGTCAGTGAGCTGCACAGCAGATGTGTGCACTGCAGCACCAGTCCTGAAGCAAACACAATTCCTTCAGAAATATGAGATTCACAGTTTCTCTAACTATACTTTCTGACTGCCTAGGTTATATAGCATCATATAATAGAATACCATACGAATGATGAATCTGGAAGAACTGGAAACTGAAATGAAAAGCAACACAGGGCTAACTTTTCACTATGAACTGCAAACTTCTTTGACATTACTTCACACAATTACCAACTTACTGACCCTCAAGCATGTGAAATCATTTCGAACATAAACAAACCTACGGCTCTGAATCCATCATTAATGTGGTCAAGCCAATTTATAACTTAACTTCAGGACACGCATGAAACTTGCTTCTTGAAATAGCAAATACAAGCTGCCTTTGGCCTTATTACGTTGAAGGTGCACCAATGTAATAAATAATTTCTAAGGAAGCGGAAGGAGTAGGGAACAATGACATAATTTTGTAAAGCGCTAATTGGTATGGATTGTGTTAGAACTAGTGAAAACTGCTTCAATAACTGTACCACGCGAGCGTTCTAGTTTTCAGGGCTCTANAGATGGCTGGTCTGCATGTTTCCCTCTCCCCTATTTGAGTTACACCCCCCTGTTCAGGATGTGGGATTGGCTATACCCTATGTGCTGTACAGTGCTGCCATCTCTGTCACGCATTCACAAAGAGTGCACACGTATTTTAAACTAAACCGCATGTGTCTATCTGCTCCCAGTCCTGAGAAAAAAAAATTGGAGACCTTAGAACTTGAACACAGGATGTGTGTGTGTGTCCCAACTTGAAAAGGTGTCCTTTTAGGAGGCAATGTCTGGTAAGTGATCCGTACCACCCATCTTAGTTGAGCTCTGTTTAATTTTAACAGGCCCCTCGTTCTTTTGGCAGAGGGTCCTGATATAAAACCCTTTGCCTGTTTGAGTCCAATTATGGATTACCAGTATTTTTTATGATTTCTATCAGGCCAGTCCATGATCACTTTCTTGGCAACTCCAATTGAGATGCCGCAAGCTGGTTCAGGTCCTATGAATGGCTGTTCAGATCCTGCTATTGCCAGTTGATCTGCAGTTTCATTCCCTGCAATACCCTCATGACCTGCCACCCATATGAGTTGTACTCTGTTATGTCTGGCCAGTTGTATGAGTAATTGGTGGCAGTCCCAAACCAATTTTGAAGTGATTTGGTGTGTACAAAGTGCTTTAATTGCAGCTTGATTGTCTGATAGGATATAGATGTTCCTATATCTATAGTTCCTATCAAAATTCTCAACTATGCATTCCTTAATGGCATACACCTCTGCCTGGGATACTGTTGTGTACTGACCAAGGCGGAAGGTATTATTCCGCCTTGTTCCATCACAATACACCTCAGCTCCAGTGCCTTTATTTGTCTTGGAGCCATCTGTATACCAGATTAGTCCCCCTTTTGTATTGGGTTGAAACCCCTCTTTCCATTCACTTCTATCAGGAAGTCTGATTGTGAAGGGTCTATCATAAAAATGTTTAGGTAGCATTTTATCAGATCCCATCTGTAGGATGGGTTCTTTGTTCATGTCTCAAGTCATGTATGCATGTCCAAAACCTTCAGATTTAGGTCTCCAGTGATCATTGCAATGTAATCTGTAATTTCCTAACTTGGTCTCTGCGTCCATCTGCAAATGCAGTGGGGGGAGTCCTAGTAGGATTTCCATTGCAGCTGTTGGAGCTGTTCTCATTTCTCCCATAATTCCCAAGCAGGCTGTCCTTTGCATAAAGTTTGCATTAAGATTTACACAAGATTTGTTTGTTATAATGTACATGTTCTATATTTGTATTAGCATGAGTGCCGTACAGACAAACAGAAATTGAAGCAGCGAAAGGAGAATGACATTCCTATGGCTAAGCTGCAGAATCAAGAGCCAGCTAAGCAGCGCAGCAAGTTGGTTTTACCAGAACCTCAGATATCAGACCAGGTAAGCACATATTTAGTTGTATAGTCAATATATATTGATTTTTGAGATTGGAGGTTCTCATTGCAGTGACTGTGAAGAGTGGCATTTTACCCTGAAGATGGAGGCAGCACATTTCTCTAAAATGTTTATAAACATATACCAGCCTATATTGATTTGAGTTTTCTTCTTTGTAAGTGTTATATATATCCATACCTGAGACATGCTCCAAAAGTCAGAGGTTTGAGAACAAAACAAAATTAAAATTGCAGGAAAATAATTTTGTTGGACTAGTGTTAATAAATGTGGATTCATCTCAGTAATATATAATTGCTCGATTGTATAGTCGTTGGTTCATTTTGCAATATTTGTTGTTATCAGTTAAAATTTGAAGTGCATCTTTGTAGGACTTCTACAGAATGCTTCCACATGTATGTATGTGTGTAAGGGGTGAGCCATAAAATCCGACCCATGCACTGCAACCTTCAGTGATCTTTGTGCTTCCCCTTTGGAGTAACCCTTTATTAATCCTACAGTTCCAATGAAATGTAGGACTTTATTTATGGGGGCATCATAAAAGTCACTTGGTTCCATGTAGAACCGACCCAGGTGAAGAAGTCTGAAATAAGCTATGGCCTCACAGTCACATGGAATATATGTGGCATGCTTCCACATAGTCCATTGTATATGTTAAAAGTCTGAATGTGCCTAAACATTAACATTCTATCTTAATTTTTTGTCTCCTGTCAGTCTGCGTCCTGTGGAATTTTTGACACTGTTACTCAGTGGTTTAAGTATGATTATAACAGTATAACAGTAAGATACTTAAGTGTGAATGCATGGCGCTCTGGCTATGTCATTTTGAAGACTGATTCTATGAAACAGAATAGCATTGTTTTTTATCCTGTCATACTTCATTATATGGCCTAAAAGAACTTCACTGTACACTGCTACTGATGATTTTGTCACATGTAGGGGTTATGTGCTTAACTAATAGATAGGTCCTGGATTGGATGACTGGATTTATTGACATCTTATTCACACAACTCAGGACTACAGACAGCACATCATTATCACTATTTTCACACACTTTACAGTTCACTATTGTACACACACTAGGATTCTCAGTCTTTACTGATCATATTCAGGCAGTGGATTTATATTAGTCCCACATAACTTTAAATCACACATGAAATCTTCTTTTACAGCCTAATTCCTTTCTTGCTATTATTCTGCAACTGCCAATTCTGAAGACTCGATTCAGTTCAATTCCTATGCTCCCAGGCTCATGTCCTGACTTCTCAAAACTTGACCAACTCCACTACTACTTCTCAAATGAACTCGTCTTTGTAATCACTTTGCACGAACACAGAAAACACAGCCTCTCTGCTGTTGAGAAGGCATGTTACAGCACCACTGCATAGCAACAGAAATTACTCAGTTGTTGCTTGTGTATTCGTTGCCACAGGGATGCTTTTACCAAGTTGTGCCTAGAAATGAATGTCTATTCTGACTTCACTATTTCAGCTTTTGGGCATTGTGTCACAATATGAAGAGATTTACCAAATAAGCATTTTCTTGTTACAAAAATTCTAGGATCCCACTGATTTCCTGACACTGTCCTCTGATCCCAATGAAATGGTTCTTCTTCATNAAGATCTCTTTCACTTGCAAGGCGTTGGCTCCAATTGCTGAGCTGCCCAGCCCACAGCCTAGTCACTATACTGAGTGAGCTATGCTAACTTCAGGGTGGTTTCCTGAGCAGTGAAAGTATGGGAATGTTGTGAAATATCACATTTTTATATTTCTTCTTCTGCTTCATGTTGTGGAACATTATTATTGAAAAAATTAGCACGAAAATAATTTTGTCACATGTTTATTCGATATCAGAATTGTATGAGTAGGGACTTTGATGTGATGTGATAATGTTTTCGATTGCATAAATGTGCATTCATTGTGTGAAAATGACTGGTTTAGGAGTTGACTTGATTTTGCTTGATTTCCTCACAGGAGCTGCCTTGGATGGTGAAACTGTGACGTCCCAGTGAGGCAGCACGGGAAGTTGCTACTGAGGGTGGACACCAGCCTTCAGATACACTGCTGGCTGATTATTCTCTGACCCTTGCAGGGGGCTCTCAAACACCCCGTACTCCGGCACTGACAACTGATAGGATCTTGCAGGAGGCTCAGAACATGATGGCTCTCACACATGTAGACACACCTCTTAAAGGAGGATTGAATACACACTTGCATAGCTCAGATTTCTCAGGGATGACTCCACAATGGGAAATTGTCACTACACCAAACATGGTGCTTGCAACTTCATTCATAAGCCAACGTAGTGATGGTTAGTACTTCATTCCATATCCCCTTCTTCACAGACGTCTGTATTTTTAGTGGTCCACCTTTTAAAATGAACTTGTCAAAAGAGGTATGTAATTTCTTGCATGTCCTAAAGACCATATTCTCAGGGAAAACTGTACTGCCTGGCTTTAGTTGCTCTTTTAAACATTAACAAACTAAGAAAAGTATCAGCAAATACAGTTTGTATCAACTTGCAACTGGAAACTTGTATTTTTAAAAATTAATTTAAATTTTTGATACTCATAGTTTATTTTGGCATGATTGTTCTGAATAAAATGTTGAATGGGAATCAGAAATATGTATAAGAAATGGCATGTTTTTGCTTTTGAATGTACTTAACAGTTTGAAAACTAGATGGCATCAGATTCACCTAGAGATTAAAATTGTAAGCATTTAAATATCCCCTGCTTTGCTTGTGTGTGCTCAAGTGTAGATTGTTCATAATTGTAAGTAAAATAGACCAATAGTTTTTGTTCGCTTCATTCTCTCTAGCACTTCATACTCCAGCTGGTGGGGGTTTCCATACACCAAATCTAGATGGTAGTATGGGTGCTGTTGCACCTGCACCCATTCATGACAAACTAAGCATTAATCCAGACGATGTTGGGGATACAACCCAGACCATGCATAATTATCAGTGCCAGGTAAATATGATACATCTCCCAAACTAACATCAGAGCACAGCTCTGCTAATGACTGAAGGAAGCAGTGGCATGTATTCAGTTCAGTAATATAAATAAGTTGCAACTTGATTTTAACCTTCACTTTGAGGAAATTAAGCTAATAACTTCAATGACTAATATGCAAGTACACCCAGTCTTCAACCATCCACTGACCAACACCACACAGAACTAATACAAGAAGAGAACAGTGCAGTAGACCTAAGCCAAGGATGGGAAGATACAGTGAAGCATACTAATTTAATTAACTTTTAATATACCAAAACTTGGATTTTAATCTTCAGTTCTAATCAGTTAAGTTAAGGCTTCCATGAATGATAATAATTTGTAACAGATTATCAACTCACACACAATATAAATATTGTAACGTGTTTCGTTACTGAAGACGCCGTTCGGATTGTTAATTGGTTTATTTAACAACCTACAAATCTCAGCTACAATTATTTATAACACAGTTGTGGGGTTTCACACTTTATAATCCTGTTCGCAATATTCAATTCACTCTATTGTCAGTAGTCTACAGGTTTCACAGTACGGGTGCTATATAAGTGTCACTCTATCACACACTCCCAATTATTACTCGGTTATCATGAACTATCACTGATTCTCACACACGCGTCCGTAACTCGTAACTGCTGCCTTTGAGAACTGTTGAGCACACACTAACTCTCGCTTGCTGCTCAGCCAGCTTTTATTCCGTTTGCTGATGTCTGTTGCCCATGTCAACAGCAGCGTTGCATTGCGGTGCTGCGTCACAGCGGGAAGCTGTGCCACGTCACAGTGCGGGGGGGCTACGTCACCGCGTGGAGGGGGGTGACGGAGCGCTGACTCACCCGCCANGCGGGGGGGGGGGGGGCGGAGCGCGGGCGCCGCCCGCCCCGGCGGTGCGGGGGGGGGGGGGGGGAGGAGTTGTCCTCCATTGCGCAACATGTCACAGTATATTACCTGATGATGGTCACACCAAAGCCAGGAGGAAGGAGGTCACTGGGAAGACCAAGGCATATGTGGGTGAACCATATTAAAATGGATCTCAGAGAGATAGGATGGAATGGTATGGATTGAATTGATCTGGCTTAGGATAGGGGTTGGTGGAGGGCCCTTGTGAACATGGTAATGAACCTTCGGGTTCCTTAAAATGCTGGAAATTTCTTGAGTAGCTGCACAATTGGTGGATTCTCAAGAAGTGCTCAGCTCCATGAGTGAGTGAGCTTAATATTAATCAGATACAGTAAATGAAGGCGTTTTCTGTGGGTCTGTTGCTTCATTAATATTTTCTAACTTGCTCAGTTTTGGTAGACACATTCCTGTTTATTGACCCTCTGTACCTGCAGTCTACAGCAAGGAATATTGCAGTGCAGTATTATAATGTAACTAGAACACTTCATAAAAATTTGTATGACGTAAAATATATGTAATTATATTGGGAACATGATCACTGCCATGGTATATCTGAATCAGTGGCATGTTGAGGGACCACTGTATATTGTTTGAAATGTGTATAATAAATTTGTTGAAATTCTTATTCATGGTGTTGTAAGAGTTGTGTTTGACTTCAGTTGTGTATTGTACCATTGGAAATAGAGCTTATGTGAGAAGATGTTACATGTGAGAGAACGCATATATTTGCAGTGTCTCGTAATGTTCATAATGGAAAAATTTGTATGTGAATAGTTACATAATCAATAAGCAGCCTCCATAGTCTAGGGGTAATGTTCCCACCTCATGACTCAATGTACGCGGGTTCAAACCCAGCGGAGGTTGTGGAATTTTTAAGGGCGGAAAAATTCAGGGAACAAGTCCCCCCAGAGGGACTTTAAGCCGTGGGTCTCGTATCGTAGATTTACTGCATGTAAAAGATCCTCATGTCTCTAGAAGACCTCTGAGCAAAATTAGGCAACAATTTCCCACCCAAGTAGCTTCCAATGCCTCTGGTAGATGGCAGAAATATCAGGTACCGACGGCCGACCTCGTTGGCTGAACGGGGCTGATAGCATGCACCAGTACCGGTAGGGTATGGTGACAGTAGAAATTAAAGGGGGACGCACAATGGACGAATAACTGGTCTAAGTGCAAGGAGAACCCACCCCATCTAATAATAATAATAATAATAATACATAATCAATATCTAATTTCAGAGCAGCATGAAATGTTGTTAGAGGTCCTGCTCTTCCCATGCCTCGACCCATTGTACCAAGGGATCGCAGCTACCTTAACAAGTTTGTAGGTACTTGGTTGGTGATGGGCCTAACAATCGTTATGCTTTGATTTGCAAAAATTGCGAGTCTCATAATGGAATCGCCCTGAAGGAGGAATTTGAGTGTATCTATATGAAATTAAGTGTTATAATCTGTATTGCAGGCTTCTAAATGAATGAAATAACAAAATATACTTGTAAAATATTGATTGTTCTCTAAGATGTAAGGTTTGCTGAATGTTTTGACTACTCTGGCTAAGAAAACTTTTTTTTTTTTCATATAAACGTGGTTAGCATATTTTGATCCCAAATATTTTTATATATAGTGATATATTCTTGGTCATATGGGCCAATAGGCATATGAGAACATGGCTTTCATAGCCTGGAACAAGAACTTAGAAACAATGATGTAACTGAAATGAGAACAGAACTTTCTTTATTGACTAGTTTTTTCTTTGTAATCGCAATTGATAAAACTAGCCACTTTTCACAGTGCTCTGAAGTGTACTAACTAACTGCATAAGGCCACACCATAGCTCAAGCGGTTAGTTGCTGGCTTCCAACCGTGGTGGCCCGGGTTCATTCCTGGGTCTGGTCAAGTGGGATTTGTGGTGAAAAAGTGGCGCTGGGGTGGGTTTTCTTTGAGTACTTCGGTTTCCCCTGCCAATATTCATTCCACCAAATTCTCCATCATCATAATCACCTGGGGCAGGCTACAATAGGCCAATCAGTGGCCGCCATGCCAAGTGGACCCAGTTGGACTCCACCCCCACTAAGCAAATTAAATGAAATACTAACTGCATGGAGTTAAGTCCTTTAGAAGCCACCAATTGCTCAGTTACTAAAAAATTTCTGGAAAATTTATGGAGCCTGAAGGTTTATTACTGTGTTCACAAGGGCCTGCCTTCTAGGTGTTTGATTTCAATTTCCTGATTCATACACCACTTACCCATTTTGATGTGAGATGCCAAAACTGCATATAGACAGAGAAGCATGTTGTGTGAGAATGAGGAAGTGGGACAGATTTTGTTGACAAGTTGAGCGATATTTCCAAACCTTTATGATTCTAATGGATCAGGGAGTTTGTGTGCTGTTGCTTCTTTTTCTTGATTCAATCTAAAAAATGTGAGACTTGCCCATACTTACTCATGAATCTTGTCAGAATAATGGATAACTGTGGTACAGACAAGATTCAGACCCTGTAGCATATGTAGGAGACATGAGAAATGCATATAAAATTTTAGATGGAAAACTCTTATGCAAGAGTCCACTTAAAAGACCTAAGCACAGTTGGGTTGATAATATTAAAGTGGGTATTAAACAAATAGGATTGGAGGATATGAATAGAATTCATCTTATTTAAGTAGGGTGCTCTGGCTATCTCTGTGAACACAGTAATAAACCTTTGGACTGCATAATGGTTGGGGAAGTTTTTAACTGGCTGAGGGGCTCTTAGCTTCCCAAGAAGGGTGATTTTCCTTCAAGTTAGTTATAGTTGTCTTTGGTCTGCAGCATGCAGAACTTGTGAATGCTCGTTTACTCTAGTGTATAGAAAGGAGAGGGAGTCAGGCCTCACACATTGTGATGTCAAGAACCTTCCTCAGGAAGGAGAGGATTCTATCTGCAAGATGGAGGGACAGCCAAAAAATTTGAGATGAACATTTGGGCATTAAATGATCCATAAACTTCATTTGTGTTCACTTCACATTTGAAATGAGGGTAAGAAAAGTGTCAGTTGTCACTGTCTACCTACTGCATGAAAAAAATCCCACTCTTTAATCAGATCTCCATTAAATTTAATGGTGGTGGCCTTCTTTACATCATAAATTTAATTGAGGATATATGATATATACATGCTTTCGTGTTGCTCTTATCATGACGATCTTCATACCATGAGTGTATATTACAGTTTAAACCTTTGACTGTATTGCATAAAGCAGTTGTAAATAATATGTAACTAACTTTTCAATGAGTAGTCACTTTTTGTTTTATTCAGGTCACTTGGAAGCAAATATATCATTGAAATAAAATATTGTATGTCTATAACTCAGTGGCTGGTATATTTCTAAGGTACATCTTTTTTTTGGGGGGGGGGATTTGTTGTTGTAAATGTTTTGCAGTTCATGATGCTAAAAATGCAATGCATTGGAACCCCAAGTTAATGTTCCTTGATTTTAATGTTCAACTTCAGTGATCCTAAATCAGTAACTTGAATGTTAAAGTACCTCCATTTAATATTTTCCTCAGTTTAATGTTCAGATCCATTGCTTGTAAATGAAGCCTTACAAGGGAGTGTCATTATGCATGATAAACCCTCTCCTCATGTTGGAATCATTGATTGTAAAGACATTTTAGGAACTGGTTCATGTTTTTAGATATGTTACAGCTCTGGTTTTGTACTTTTGATAATTAGCATTATATCAGACATCATAACTACATGTCAACTTTTCAGGATTTCGTTGTTGCTACTGCTTTTATTGGAATGCGGCTCGAAAGCAGCGACCACAAGCGCCTAGGCTTCCTTCAACTACTGGAAGGTCGGAGTTACCTGAACACACATCTGCCTCTGAGTTAGAGAGTTCCTCAGACACAGAAGAAGGTAAGCAACTCTGCGTCTCTTCACAACTGGTCATCATCTTGGTTTTAAAGGGTCTGGAGGATGGTGTATAATACTCATAATTACTGGGTTTTTGGACTTTGTCCATTGTCTGTTATTCTAGAAACTAGGAAACAACATTCCAGAAACTGGATCTGTTTCTGAAATATTTCATTTTCTAGAGTCTAGAATACCGGACGATGGACAGAGTCTGAAAACCTAGTAATTCTGGTCATCATCTTGTCTTTTACCCTACTTTTTATACATTCGTTACAGTGTAAAAAGGGAATACCTTATATAGAGGACATGGGGGTATGCAGTAGCGTAGTTGGTTGAGACACTATGCTACAAGCTGGATGATTGTGGGTTGATTCCAGATGAGGTCATTTAATTTTTCAATTGACCTAATCCTTCCAGCCGCACTGCAACCCTGGGGTCAACTCATCCTGCAACACAAATGAGTACCAGCAATCTTCCTGGGGGTAAAGGGCGGCTGGTGTGTAAGGCTCATAACGCGAACACCAATTGTGAGCAGATGGTCTAGAAAATGTGGGAACCTGAACATCTCATAATGATATGGGCCTTCATGTCCTGTTACAGGGATTACTTTACCTTATACGGAGGACATATATGTCTGCTTGTCTGTGACCTAGTAATCAGTGCGCAAGTTGTTGAACAGGTTGTCATAATGAAGAGAGAAATCTTCTGGGATGTGGCGCTGTGTATATATTGTGTTAATTGACGTTTTGGAGGAATGTATTGCCTCCATCTTCAGGGAGGCAAAACATCGGTTAACCCAATATCTACACGGTGCCACATCCCAGAAGACTGCTCTTCATAGTCACTGCCGTTAAAACCTCAAACAGGTTGTCATAATGTTAACTGAAAGTTTTTGGGCTCCTCTGATTTTCAGCCATAGTGATGTAGAATAAAATATATTTTATACAGGACCCATGAACTGTTTCACTAGTTTTTTTTTAATTCGATATGGGTGACTTTCACTAGTTTTCATTTCGTTATTCCCATTTTAAGTAAGTTTAATAAACTTCAAAGAATGCTATGGGTAATTTTGTGTACTACACTATGAAATGCTCCCTTTCCAGTCTCATTCCCTCACAAGGAGCATCTTAGTCTTACCATGTTTGATTTTATGGCTACGCAGCAAAAAGCAGCATGGACTGTGCTTAATTCACCCATTCCCCACCCCATCCCATATCAACTAATTCCATACAGCAGAACTCCTTTTTGGGAAGCTAATTGCTGCTCAGCTAGTGATGAAATTCTCTATCCTTTATTCAACTCAGAGGTTCATTACTGTTTTCCCACAGCCCCACCATAGGTCCCTGTCCTGATCCAGATGTATTGAGTCCAGTTGTCACTCCCTGTTTCTTTCATACAATTTTAATATTATCCTCCAAGCTTTCCTTCATGAATCTGACTAAAATTTTGTGTACGTTATCATTGCACCAAAGTGTATTGAAGGTTTAATAGTGGGCGTTCTCATAATATTTTGTGGTCAGCATATGGTATGTTTCAGTGCATACAGAAATGTTTCAAAGGAAGTTTGTAAACATGGTTATGATACACTGAATGTTAAGTGGAAATCTTAGTGAATTTCTGATAATCAAATATGCTGTACTGTGTGAGTAATGAAGTGCTGTATATATGGACTCCCTGAATGACTGATATGGTGTGACACTGTGGCAGCAGTAAAAGAAATTATTATTACAGAATTATATTTTTTAACTAAATAGCATTTTCTTTGAATTTATCTCTGCTTTGTAGTAATAAATGCTATGTCACCTGCTATGCCAAGCTTTATGTAGTCAGGCAACATAGCCTAAATTTTCTATTAAAATGGTAGTTACTCTTAGGATGCTTGCTGACTTATCATAAATACAACTGAAATAAGTTCCACAGGATACCAGAAAGACGTGCTTAATAAATTAAAAATTACTTTCTTTGATTCACAAATTAACAAGCTTATTTTCATATTTCCACTAAGCATTTAGCATGATTTTAAGAATTTTAATGTATATTGAAAATAAATATGATTTTTACAATGTTCAGAAAATTTAAAAAGAAATTATGCATGTAAGAGAAATGTGAAGCAAGAATGGTGAATGTACTTGGAACAGATTTATAGTAATGCTTTGTTCCAGAATCTGATAGTGAGCAGTCATCTGACTTTGGGGCCAATAACAGAGAATGGTGGCACAAAAATCGCAGAAGTTGGTGAGTGCAAGTACATTTTGAGACATCTTCTTGCATGTATGCGACACCATGCTAAGAAAAAATTACAGACCTCACGTGACTTTCATGGATACTTTGAGCTATGATTCCCCGTGTCAGAGCATAGTGTAAAAATGTTCAATGGGATATTTAGGTTCACAGCTTACTGGGTATCGCATGCCCCAATTTATCTCTTAGTGTTAATGTTTCTTCTGACTGTGTACACTGCTTAAATCTTCATCACAAAGCACAGCACACAGCTGCTGCTGTAATCAATGAAAGTCAACCTTGTTCAGGCCAGATTAGAGACATATTTACTTGATTATGCTTTTGAAATTGGCTTGGCAGCCATATTGCAACTTGAAGTTAATGAGATTAATGTTGAAAAATGCAGTGCTTAATCAGCTTGACCATGCACATGTGCCATTTTAATCATGCAATGTGCTGCCAGTAACAGAGTGTAATATTACATCTTAGAAATTAAGACTTCCAACAGTTTTCCTGCAATAATAAGAAACATTTTCCTATGACTTTTTAAGAATAGTTTATGTTTTTAACAATATGCTAATGAAAGGCGTGTTGAAATCAAAGGTAAACTGAGAATATTAATACAGTAATTATGTTTCCTATAGGCCGATTCCCAAGAATGCTATTTGTATTAGAATAAGTACAAATATGATTTAGAATGGAATTATTTAGAAGAAATAGTAAAGTTTTTATGTTTGATGTAACAAAGGGCAATGTGATTGATGCACGTTTAGACTATAACATCATTATTCAGGAACAGCTTTTGGTTATTGCCTTACTAATTAAGGAAATATTGGGAAAAAATTCCTCTGTAATTGAGTCTGCAGATTGCATTAATAAAGCAGTTTTATGTAAGATTTGAGGCTTTCATGGCAGTGACTATGAAGAAAGCAGTCTTCTGGGATTTGGCACCGTGTATATGTGGTGTTAACCGATGTTTCGGAGGAACGTATCGCCTTCATCTTCAGGGTAGAAGAAAAAATATAAGAAATCTGCAAGCGAAGAGACCGTAAGAACTGGTAAAAGCAGACTGTGTGGAAATATACACAGCTATGTGAGAGCAGAGAGGGTAGGGGTAAGGGCAAGTATACAAGTGAAAGCAGTAGTGTGGGAGGGGTAGGGGAAGGGAGCTGGGACAAGCATGGTTTTTGTGTAGGGGAGAGAAAGGCAAGGTTAAAGGCTGGGCACTAACCCGTAAGCTGAGGGGGGGGTTGTTATGTTGGTTGGTCATGGCCTGTGTGGCCTTCTGGATGTGGCATCATATCCTGGTGGGGGTTTTTTAAGAGAACAGATGAGAGGTTTCCAAGACTTGCTGAGACAAAACCCACCCTCTCTGTTCATATTTCC